GGAAAAAAGTAAGTAAACTGTTTATTATTTCAAAAGTAATTGCCATAACTGTTAATACATTTATCCCACTGTGAGACAAGATGGTCAATGCCTTCATAGAAAAATGTTTGCGGTTGCCTACGAAATTATGATTGTACCCAGGCGTTTACCTTTTCATCCGAAGCAAATTGATGGCCACAAATGCCTTTCTTTGGGGCTCCAAAAATATGGAAATCTTAGGGAGAGAAATTGGAACTGTATGGAAGATGTGTATGGACTATGCTGCAGAAGTTTCCAGTGAAACTTCTGCAGCATAGTCAAAACAACCTTGGTAACATGTGGGTGGGCATTATCCTGCAACAGAATGATGCTGTCTGTCAACATTTCTGGGTGTTTGGATTTGATGGCACGCTTCAATTTTTGCAAAGTTTCTATGTACTGCTGTGTGTTAATTGTGGCGCTGTGTTCCAGAAAGTCAACAAGCAGTGAACCTCCATAGTGATGTTGAATGCACACACGACTCGCCAACCTCACTTCAAGCACTTCTAACAGACAAATGGCACAGTGGTGAATGTTCATGCTGTTCCTCCCTGATTCCCAATAGGGGGCACTTCTATATACACACCTACCTGCATTACCAACTTCCATGCCACACTTGTTATATTATCTGTCTCATTTTCATTTGACTGCCCCTAATAGTTTAAAATGAAATTGGTTGGTAAAAATACATCTAATTCCTCTAGTAATAAAAAAACAAAATTACTTTCCGAACAACCCAATAATATAATAAATATATTATAATAAATAAATCTGTTGACAAAAAAGTAAGAACAAAAATTAATGAGTATTTTTGCCTTATTTATTAGAGTAGTTCTTATTTTTAAGTTTTTAAAGTTGAATGAAGCATGTTTTGAATATGTTCCATTATTGAAAAAAAAACAAATTTGGTAAAATTTGGTTGTTTGGAATAATATTTCAGGGTTGCTACCATGATCTGAAAAACTGTAATATGTCACAATGCTAAGCATATGACCACTCACTGTTGGAACAGAAATCCTATATAAGTATAGCAATAGGAGCAGAATGTTGTTGCCATATGTTCTATAATAGACTGAGTATTATGGAACATTCTAGGACCTAGACTATAAATTCAGACGACTTGAAACAATTAGTTCAAGCAACCAAAGAGTGCAATTCAACCACGGATGATCCTCACTAAGTTGTGTAAAGATTAAATTAAATATTTTGACTTTTAGGAGATTATAATTTGTATACTTCTAATTTATAAGTTTCTAGGCAACTTAGTGTAAACTGAGGTTGAAGTGTACTGGTTCCAGGTTTTATTTTATGAAGAAATGCTATTGTTGCAATATAAACAACCCAAAGCGTGCTCAGCAGAAAATAATAAACTATAACTAAATCAACACCTGTTCACTCGTTGAGAGATTTATTCTTAACACAAACGTTTTCAATCCAATCATGTTATTTTAAATGCTATTGTTGCATTTAAAATAATGAATATTTGGCTAATAAGATAACAATCATGTGAAATACCTGGAAATAAGCTACCTTTGAAGTGAGAGATTATCACTAATTTTTTAATTTGCATCTGACTGAAAAGAAAACTGTTTGGGAAAGTGAAACTTTAGCTGCCAGAACTGTCATTGGAATTTAGGATAAAGCATGGATCCCTAGTTGTCTTCAGAAACACACAATTGCAGCTCTTGAAAAAATCTTCCATGAGGAAAAATGAACAACAAAAAGAAAGACCCAAAACACTGTAAAAAAATCTACTTTCAGCAACAACCTCAATTAGCTTTTTGATGTTACACATGCAGAAGTGTTATCCATGATCAAAATCAAAGAAGATTGAAAATTTCTTCTGATTCAGAAGGAAAAAGGATGACTAGGAAAGATGGCAGGAGTTGACAAGGCTCTAAAAAAGCAAGAATCTATAACAAGGAAGAGAATACGTACCAATAATAATTAATATTCCACGGTTTGGTTATTGTTATGCTCATCTTGTGGCATTGTAACAAGAAAATTACTAACTGTAAATTTTAAATGCTTAGTACTATATTATCTTCCATTTTGCTTAAAATTAAGTAATTTTGTTTCAAACTTTGGTAATTTCTCTCTAAATTTCCAAATTTTGAAAATGTTACTTTTTTCAATACTGGAAAAAGTTAGGTAGGTGTCCTTATGCAAACTACTTCATAATAAAATTGAATGAATAAATAAAACATACTGAAACACAAGTAAAAATTCACTATGTTTTACTTTAAACACACATTGTTATCAGAATTAGCATGTCCCAAAATATATAAAGTTCAAATACACTTATAAAATTTTCCTTATTGTAAGTTTTAGTTGAAGTTATCATCTTCATGTAAATAGGCATTTTAAACAGTCTTTTTGCATTATCAGACTCAACATCTGGTAACATGAAATATTATCAATCTTAACCAGTATATCACATGTTAATTTTAAATACAGTTTACAATTAATTTCAATTGTCTTAAAAATTATACTTACTGTGGTTATTAGTTCACTCACCAAACCAGAAAATCCAGCAGTAAATGTTAAATTTAAGAAATGCTTGATAAAAACAAATGTGTTCATTCACTTTCAATGATCAACTTCAGGCTTACATTAATTAACAATATAGAACAATGCATGGAATAGTCTTTACAAATTCAAATTAAATGGAACACTTTTCCAATTGGTTGTTGCCATGTTGTATTTGGTAAAGTCTACTCCTAAATCCAATAAGATTTATATATTTTTTATATTCTAATTTATATATAAAAACAAATTTTATAATAATAATATAAAATTAATTTTTATATTATTTCGATTGATGATTTTCTTGCAAATGATAGCGTGTCAATTTTTTTGTAATTGGTGGTCCGTGCTTTTTCATTAGCTTTGTACTTGTATATATCTGTTTTCTCAAGATATTTTAGATATGCATTAGCTTGTGTGTGGTGTATTATTTGTGCTTCTTCTAGGTGCACTTGCACTTAATCATTATTAACATAGACTGCTAAGGCTGTTGTTGTAAATCCTTTTCTAATTGACTTCTTATATTCTTCTTTTCATATATTTAGAGAACATGAAGTGGTCCCAATGTATTCTAATTTCTTTCCAATTCTGTTATCGGTCAATGGAAAAGAATACACTCCTGGTATGTTTGTAGGTCTTTGGGATCCTTGGAATTCCTTAGTAATTTATATATAGTAGGATTCTTTTTGGGTGCTATTTTACAATTATTGATCTTAGCTATTTCTCTATGGACAGGAGTGAATTGTTTCACATAGTTAACTATTTTGAAATCTTTCATCCAGTTTTTTGCTTTTTTCTTGATTAGCAAATGTTGTTGATGAATTAAGCACTTAATAATTTTTATGGGGTAACCATTTTGCCCTGCAATTTGTTTAATGTGATTTAGTTTCTTCCTCCTGTCCTCCACACTGAAAGAATGTGTGAAGGCTCTTTTGATTAATGTCCAGAAAGCCACTACTTTGTAAGAAAGTGGATCATTCAATATAAACCTGAAGATAATTGCTGAAAATGATTGAAAACATTTGCTTTTATCAAGCATTTCTTAAATTTAATGTTTTACTGCTGGATTTTCTGATTTGGTGAGTGAACTAAAGCACATTCAGTTATTATAGATTATTGTAGTTATTTTCTAATGCAGTATTTTATAATAATTTTAAACTACAGGATGTCCACAAAGTCTAGGTACATAAAGATTAACACATACTTTTAAAACAAAATAATTTTATTTGATTCTAATATTAACAAATAACATCTTCAATACATAATTTGATGTGCCATAATTTGTGGACACCATTACCAGTCAGTGTGCTGAAATTGATGGCAATACAGACCTATTTAATCGAGTTCACCTGAATTTTGCAAGGAACTCAAATTATGTATTGAAAATGATGGAAATCATATTGAAAATGTTATTTATTAATATTAAAATCAAATAAAATTATTTTGTTTTAAAAGTATGTGTTAATCCTTATGTACCCAGACTTTGTGGACACCCTGTATAATTATTTTAAAATTGCTGCATTAATAAATTAAATTTAAATAAATTCTTAATATTTACACAAAATTAATTCATGAATTATTTTCAGATATTTTACATGAATTTATAACTAATTATTATTATTACAAAAAACTTAACTTACTTGTAATGTATACCAAAAACCAAAAGTTTGTTCACTACATATTTCATCAATTGGATAGTGACCAGGTGTACGACTACATTGCTACAAAATTAATAATTTATTATTATTATTTAATAAAAGATATTCTTTTTTTATAAAAAATTATTAAACATACTAATATTAAACTAATTAATTTGATTATTGTATCCCGATATTCTTCTCTCTCCAAAATTGTGTTTAACAGTAGCTTGGAATGTGTCTCTCCTAAAGCAATGAACAAACCATATATACAGCAACAGATATCCTAAACAAAAAAAAACAATGATTTTAATCCATAGAAAAATTTTTGATAAGTTGAAAAATGTATAACTACTGAAGTAGGATTATATTAAAATTAAGACTACTAGAATCAGCTTTTAAGCACAAGTTAAATGACAGATATAAATTTCATAATTTTATATTAATAAATATATTTTGAAACATTACATAGTTTTTAATATTTCTTATGTAATCATATGAATTTATATATGTATTTTTTTGATAAAGCATAATTTATTAAAAAAAATCAGAAATTACAGTATTAACTGAACTCCTTTAATGATCTGAATATATAATTCAATTCACAATACTTTACTACTCAATATTAAATATTTTATTTTATAATAATTAGATATTTTTCATCTGGTTTACTTTAATGAAAACCAATAGTGCAATTTTTTTCTTCCTTGCCCTAGCTTTCCTATCAACCAGGTATCATCATTGTTGCTTTCAGACTTTAGCCCTTAAGAGTGTCACTGTGTTTTGTTTTTATACATTAATTTTTGTATTTAATAGTTTATTTAAACATTTTTAGGTAAGTATAATTAACCTTTTTTTAACATTTACCTAAAAATGTTCTTTAAATGTCCCTAAAAAAGTGTTACTAACATTTTTAAATTGTGGGTAAGTAATCATTTGTAGAAATGATGAATAAAATATGGTGATATCTCAATACTTGGAACTGTTTCTAACTCAAACAATTTGGTATTTGAACATAAATTCTGGAAAATAAATTGCTTGGTCCTCGATTAAACAAATGCAAACCACTAAAACAAAATTTTGATTAATATTTTTAATTGTATTTTCTGAAATCATAAAAAATTTTTATGGTAAAAATAAAAAAATGAAGAGGTTTCAACAAAAAACAAAAACCCTCAAATGACAATACTTTGTACAAACAAAATGCCCTTGTTTAACTAAAATTAATATTAATGCATAATACAGTACTTTTAATTGTAATTTTTATTTAATTGTTGATTGAAAATAAATTATTGATCATTTTAATAAATGTATTTCTCTTAGTGATGAAAAAGAAAAGTATACTTTAACTAACTTCTGGAACCTAACCCCATGTTTTGCATTAGTCCTTTGTTTCGTATAGCACAGATTTGCATAACAGTTCTTTTTTGGAATGTAATACTATGTTATTTATATAAGGGACATCTGTACTCTTATCAGTAAACTGATAAAAATATGAAATCTAAAACTGTATATAATTCTGCATTTCAATATTTTCTATGCTGACATTTGGAATAAGATGCTTACATGAACAATTTTTCCATCATTTGTTTTTATAACAATATTAGAAGAAACATATTTTTCATAAAAATAAAATTTTGAATTAAATGAAGAATACTTATACTTTATGCATAAGTTTCAAATAATTTAAATAAGGTTAAAAATTTTTCTACAAATTGTTTTATTAGCATGGGAAACCATCTAACTATTATTTTTTTTTACACAAAAAATTCAAACATTAAAATTGACATTTCTATCTTCACATTTCATCAAATCAATTAAACTGATAAATCTGCTTTATAACAACATTGAAAATTATTTTAATTATGAAATCACCTATAAAAAAATAAACAGAGATATGGTGTGAGTAACAGAGTGATGCCTCTATTTTTCCCTAAAACTTTTCTTCCTACAGAAACAGTTTTACATCAATTAATCCTCAATCATTAAAAAATATACTTTTTCCATAAAGTCATTTTCTATGCATAAAGTCATTTTTTTGCCATTACTCAGTCAGATGTCCATGACTAATGGTGATTTTAAAAACAGTGTAAGTGGTTTTCATTTACTTACCAAGAAAAAGTTGCCCGAATCAAACAAAACTGTATATGTGCGAGTGTAAGTGATTACAAAATGAAAGCAGAAGGATCATTTATTGCAGGAAAAACTACAAAAGAAAGGTTCTAGTACCCTGTTGGGCCACCTCTAGCATGAATACACAATGTGATGTGGATGAGCAAAGAGGCATACAGGTGCCATTTGGTGTCCTCTTAGTTTGGCCAAACTCTTAGACTGTCCAACTTGGCAACCAGGTGATCCCAGACATGTTCAATCAGTAACAAATCCAGACTGAGAAGGCCAGACTGAGAGGTGTGGCAATGTGACAGAGCAGTTCTGTGACACCCCTGCTGGATGCAGTCAAGCATTATCCTGTTGGCTTTTGAGAGACCTATCACTAGAGGCAACACATGGCTGCAGGATGTCACTAACATACCACTCTGCTATCATGGTTCCTTGGATCACTACTACTAGAGATCTACCACAGCTGTCATGTCATATGTGATGGCATTCCTAACCATCACAACAGCTATGGGGTGGTGTGCTGCTATATAGCATAGGCAGGATTGAGGCATTTATCACAAGGCCTCCATACACAAACAAGGCCACAAACAAATCAAACTGAATGTGGATTCGTCACTGTAGACAACCTGGTTTCATTCTGTTGCAATCAAATTCCATCAGAAGCGATACCACTCCAAACAGAGGCAATGGTAGGTGGTGTCAATGGTAGCACATGTAATGGCTGCTGCAATACAAAATGTTCTTCACCCAGGTGCCTCAAAATGGTACAGACAGACATGGGCCTGTAATGATGGCACCACCTGTGTTTAGATGGTAGACAATGATATGGTTGGCTATGTACATGCTTGTCAGAGGTCCAGGTGGTCCTCTCAGCTGGTGGTCTAATGAGGGAATCTTAAGCCTTGGCATGGTGTTTGCAAGCTCTCTCTTGTCCGCTGTCCCAACACCACCTCACAGTATTGTCAGAATGGTCTAGGTGGTGGGCTATTTGCATGATGACCATCCAGCTTTTCTCAACCCAATGATCCTTCCACTCTCAAACTTGGTTAGTTCTTCATATGGTCTTTGATTGCAATGAAAGGCATCTCTAGTGACACAGCATCCCTCTGCAACAGGTAAATTACAGACAGGATGCCTTTAATACATTTTTCTTATAGGTCAAGGGGTATGCACTTTAACACCCTCTGCTGGCATTATGTGATGAGCCATCACACTATAACTAATCATTTCCATATCTGCTTGAGAGTTATTGCATGCCAACTTTTGTAGTGATATGACAACTCCTTGATGTGCTAGTTTTATGGCAATGAGTGTATATAAATACGTAGAAGTCAGTGTCAGAAAACTGAAAATATCCATTCCAAAGTCAAAATTCTTGATTAAAACAGACTTGGTTATAAGACAAAATCAAGTTTACTGTTTGATAGTCTGAATTGGACACCTGTAGATTTTTCTGCATTTATGATATAAAAGTCTGTCATAGTAATTTAGTCTCTAAATTGTTGTATGTATCCAAAGTCAGAGATGGTAAAAAAATGATAATTTTCCAGCCCTGTATCTAAGTTTCCTGTATTACCAACTTCCAAGAAGTCTACAAGATAATGCTCTATTGCAGGGATGGCCAACACGTAGACCGTGGTCGACCGGTTGACTGTAAAGGTTTTGAAAGTAGCCTGCGAAGCTAAAGTTGAACAATTTGCTTTCACTTAAATTAATGTTTAAAAATCTTAATTCAATAATTTATTCTTACAATAATAGACTGTCCGTGCAACATACCCATACAGTTTGTATTTATCCCGATGAACAATGCAAATGAATGTTAACGCATGTGCATATAAAAATCCTAAAATTGTTTGCCCATATTCATAGTTGCCCACAGACTATTTTATACCAAAAAAGTAGCCCCTAAAAAGTAAAAGTTTGGCCACACCTGCTCTATTGGATCAAAAAAACAGCCATTGTGACTTTACTGACAAAAAATTGGTTTTTAAACTACTTGCACACTAAATTATGATGGTTGCTGCTATAACTACTGTCCCTTTATTTCAATTACATAATGGTATTCCTATACTTCATCCTTAGGGGTCATAATAAAATATTTTACTGGCTTCAAATACATAATCTGATTCAGAGATAGCAAATATGCATAAAAAATTAAGGTAAATTTGTAGAAAAAAAACAAATTTTAATATTCAAGACAGGTTTTAAAATTAATAATCAATTCCATCAACTCTCATTTTTAACAAAAAACATTTAAAATTTTCTGTTTGGTATTTAAAAGATTATTATTTCAAATTGAAAATAATATTTACAAGTAATTATTTTATGTACCTAATTTTTCTGACTAATAGTCTTTATTATTCATTTTGTAATTAAAAATCAAAACTTCCCATTATCTATATAAATATTTTAAGTTTAAACTCAGATTAATAATGTGAGAATCTGGGCTGATGCTTTTCTTAAATTTAATACTTTTCTTTTGTTTCTAAGGAAGTTCCCAAGAAGAGATGTTGACTCTGATACGAACTGAACAAGTTCCTTGTTGCCTCTCTCCTCAGGTGACTTGAATCGTCCATAGCCATTGGATGGACACTAAATTACACACCTGTATATCCTATAAATAGGGCCAAATATGAACAGCCCAAACTCACAAACGAGAAAGTTCGCATCCAGACCAAAAGAGTTTCCCGTCAAATTGTGTAAGTTCATGAATCATATTAGGAATTTTCCAGATATGAATTTCATTCCATAAATGATCTAGTCCAGCGGTTCCCAAAGTTTGTGCCATGGTTTCCTCACAGGAGCGCCATGAAATGTTATAAAATTTTTATAATGTTAGAATTTAATGTACTTGTTAGAATTTGACATAGGGTGCCATGGGAAAATTTGCATTTAGCAAGAGTGCCTAGAATCAAAAAAGTTTGGAAACCACTGATCTAGTCTATTAATGTCAAGGAATGTGAATTTCATATTGTACTCTCCTCAACTGCCAGGGGGGTGTAAAATTTTCACATGCTCTTTTTGTTGCATTCTGCCATGTTCCGTAGCACAGAAGGCTTGTGCTGTTCTATTGTTCTTTCTGTATTTATTTGTTTATTAAACACAGTTTTTAGTCAAAGCAATATATCATTATACATTCTTACTTGACTTTTAACATTTAATTTCTAATTACACTACTAAAATACTAATTCATTAATCATATTTGAGAAGACTAAAACACATTTGATAATTTAGATTTTGAATACAATGTATTTGTGTATTTCTTTTAAATAGACATATTGCTATTTTCATTAGTTTATCTACAATTTGTATATTCTTCTTTTGGGAAGTTATTTCCAAGAGAATTTTGCAACAAATAATTTTGAATCCAATTCCATCTGTTCAACTTCAGTTCCACTGTCAACCTTCCAACACAACTCCAAACACTTTTCTCTCCCTCTCTCTGTGGATTGTCTATCCTGCTCTCCTACATATGTTCCATGTGCATACCAGATATTTACATTGTGTATTTCTTAAGCTTTTAGGATAGGTTTATAACTGAAGTGACACAGTATGTATTTTTATTACTTTAACAGATTACAGATCAAATAATTATGATTAAATCATATTATGCAGTAGATAATTTTTTTCCTGCAATTGATTACAATTCCAAAAATGCTTATGCTAATTTGGCATGAGTTTTAAGTTTTAATTATCTTTTTCTTGATAAGATTTAAGCTTACAGTCAAATTGCATGGAAATGAGGGAAAAAATTTGAGATAGACAGGTTGAATGGAGATACAGTATTTTATTAATACAATAGCAAGTAAAGTACATACCTGTATTAGATATAAATAAAAAAAATTTTTGACATACAATAACAGAAATAGTTTGTCAATAGTTTTTTATGCCTGAATTTTTTCAACCAATAAGATGCAAGCCAAACTCAGCTTTTCATCACCAGTGGTCGAGGTGATAAAAACCAGTGAACACTGGTAACTAGTTAGTTGGTTGTGGGTTCATGCGTCAGCAACAGGCTGGCCATGTGTTTCCAAGTTTTCTTTACATTTATAACACTTAAATAGGAGCCAGTTTCCCATCTAATGTCCTCCCAAGAAGCATCTCCCTTGGCAGATTGCCCACATCATATTGCAGTAAATAAATAAACCAAACCAAATTTGTAGCCAATCAGAGAAAAGCAGTGTTAATTGCAACTATGTACTGTATTTCAAGAGATGTTTCTTAACTACAATTTATGCTATCAAAATGTAGTCGTTGAGCTTTGAAACTGTAATTGACACTTCAGTCTGTAATTTGAGATATAGAAGTTTTGGGAGAAAATTATTTGAGATGAATGTAGAAAATATATTGAATTTAGGCTGAAAATGCAGTAGAAGAAATAAATTTCAAGATAAACATGTTTGAGATAGACAGGTTCAACTCTTTATCAGAAGCAAGCCTGTCTACTGAGCTTCAATTAAATATAATATGATTTTATATTATATGAAACTTACCATATCCTTTTCTTGAATTGCTTTTGATAATAAATCCTCCAATTTAATTATCTGTCCAACTAATTTCAAGATAGAATTTGGACATCTAAAATAAAAATTTTATCTACAATATATAATTTCTATTTTTATTTAAATAATGATTTAAGAGAATATTTTTTTGGTTAAAAAATAAAAAACAGTTATGTTTATAAATATTTTAATACATTTAAGGGAAAGAATAGTAAACTTTTGATTTTTTAAAAATTATTTAAGCAAGAGAACAGTTTTTATTGCAAAAAGTGAAAATATTGAAAGTAAAGTTGTCATAAAATAATAGATCACAACAGAAAATGCATATTCAATTTTTCATTTGTGTTTGTATCATTAAGAATCTATAACGTTTTAAAAAATTCTGATAAAAAGTGTAGTAACTTTTCCAAAACAAATGTCACCTACATACTAAAACAGTTATTAAATCTGAGATAATCATTTTGTAAAAATTATATTAATAAAATTAATATAAACAAATGTAATGGTTAATTTTGATTCTAAAATTATTTATTAAATATATCATTAACCTAATTTAGATTGTTACCAATAATAATTTTTGTAAACAAAAAATTATTTTAATATTTGTTTGAAAAAATTAGCAGTAAATTTTTAAACAAATATTTCATGGTCAAGGTTTGTCACAGGGCAACAAATTTCCCATGACAAACTAGTATGACATTTAAAAGAATATCTGATAAACTTCAAGTTTCACAGACTAGTGTAAGAGAGTCAAGAATAAATGGTTTCAATATGGACAAAAAGATGCAAATTACTCTAAATGTGGCAGAAAAGAAATTCTGGATGAGCATAATAAAGCATTTTGTTAAGCAAAACCAAGGAAAATTCAATCATAAACTTTGCAATAACATTCCACTAAATGGGATACAACATATCAATCAGAACTCTTCAATATTTGTTATTGAATATGGGTCTTCAGAGCTGTTCCTTTCAACACAAACTACTCAGCTGCCTGAAGAGCCCAAGACTAGACTATTGATGTTTGGAAAAAAGTGTCATTTTAATGATGAATCAACAATCATCAGATTTTGCTAGGCTAGTTGCCAATATATATGAAGCAAATCCGATTAAGCACTTGATCCAGCTTGTATTCAAGAAACTGTTCAAGATTTTGAAAAATCTGTAATGATTTGGGAGTATTTTTTTTTTGGTCTAGTTTGGGTCCATTGGTCACTTTTGAGAAAACTATGAAGTCAAATGACTATGTTAAAGTGCTGGATGACCATATGTTTCTGCAATCTATGATTTTCATCCTGATGGCTCTAATGTTTCAGGATGATAATGTCTTTACCATTATGCTCATACTATAATGAACTAATTTAGGAAGCAGAATACTGACTTCATATACCTGGAGTGACTGACCACCACAAAGTTGCCACATCAGTCATTTGAACATCTTTGGGACAGTACTGCAGGGCTTAAAGCAGTCAAGGCAGTGAAAAAAAGTGAAAAAAGAGAGTTCACACTGAAAAAAAGCTAATAGTGTTAAAGTGAACTAAAAGAGGCATTATTAAAAAAACACACACATACATTTTGTATCAATAACATTGCATATGATATTAAATTGATTATTAAGTGAACTGAAAAAATTAAATATGAAAATAGTTAGGCTGAGTTTATACTCCAGAAAAGTGACCAACAAGACTGCATTAAGCCTGCATTAAGTTTTTAAGTGGCCTATACAGAGTTCCTACCTTTATACAGCAAAGGAAATGGAAGAGTAACATAACTACCAGAATGTCTCTCCATATAACATGCCAAATTTCAAATGCCATTTATTTCAAGATACATTTTTTGATTTATTGTTTAAAAAATTTGTAATTGAAGGTTTTCTTTTGTTTAAGTCATGCTGCAGTTTCTACACTTCTCTTGTTTTCTCCTTTTCATCACACTAAATTTTCCTTGCACTTTCCACTATTCCTTGGGCAAGATGTATCTCTTCAACATTGTTTTTCTCAATCACATTTCATAGTCTATTAGTGGCTTCTTCAAACATTCTACACCTCATTTTCCTTTGCATTTCTTCTTCTTTTTCTTCTTCAGCTTGGCTTCAAGAATATCAATTTCCTTTCTCTCCTGTTCAAGTGCTTTTATTTTATCCTCCGCTTCCTTTCTCTTCCTTCCTTCCTTGTCCTTTTTTCTTCTTTCAGTTTACTTTGTTTGTCCAAAAAAGCCTTATAAGTAGCATATGCATTTCAGGCCAACCCAAGTAACTTCTTTGTCATTGGCACCAAAAAGGCATTATTGTTGTAAACACAGAGTCCATCTTTTACTATCAACAATAAATTCATCATTTGTTCTGACAAAGAAGTTCTGTCTTCTGTCAGAACCCATGTAGAAATGGAGAACCCTCTTTCAACATCTGCATTGCCATGACTGAGAGCTAACAATGCTTTGACTACTTTAGGGATAGTTGGGTATTTTGGCATCGTTAACCTGATATTTATCTTTTTTAAATTTTCACTGAAAATACCTTAGGAAAAAGATTTCCCTTATTAGCTGAGGTGCAAAAAGAAATTTCTTACCAAGTCTTGATTTAAAATAGTTCATAAATACACAATGACTGAATATATGACTTACATTGTAAAGAAACTGAAAAGAATATTACTAACATTATCAATGTTTGTCATAATAAAACGATAATCATAATTAAACTGGATTAAGTGAAAGACTCCAGAAGCTTGTTTTTAACTTTGTTTTTCTTGTTCATTGGAGTGTACTTTAGTGATGCTGGAGTCAGATTTTGTAAAATTCAGATATCAAAATATTTATTGTGAGATTAATTGAAACAGAAACGAAAGAACAATGACAAAGAAGTTACATGGGTTGACCCGCAATGCATATGCTACTTATAAGGTTTTTTTGGACAAGCAAAGTAAATGCATTAATAAAAATATAAAGATAGTCATAGATAAAAAGATAAATAAAAATAGAAAATACCATTTTTCCTAATACACTATGTTTCATGTTTATTGACACTCAATAAACCCACAGTTATCATACCAATCAGTTGCCAATGCACATGTAAGATATACAAATTAAATAACCATAAGCTAATGCAAATAATATTACTTTCGAAACCGCATATAATTGATGATTGAATTATTATAGCAGGTTCCAGTAAAACTGATAAAAATTTCATTTCCATCAGTTTTTTCTGCAAGTTACAATATATTTTAACATGTTATATGTAACCAATAATAAAATATATAGACTAACATTGTATGAAATAATAGATATCATAGTACTAATTATAATAATCATAAATCTTGTTATAATAATAATAATAATAACTCTCTAGTTCTGCCTAGCCCTGAACCCATTATCCAACATGTTAAACAACAAACAATATGGCTACAATATCAGACATGAAAAAACAACACAGTTTATGCTGTCACATCTCATGTAAATGGACGACATAAAACTTTATGCATCCACACAGAAACAACTTCATCAACTCCTACAAATCACACATTCATACACTAAGGACATACAAATGGAGTTTGGCCTAGACAAATGCAAAAAACTTCACATAGAAAAAGGAATCCTGAAGAAAGAAGATTTTGCACTTGGAAATGGAGACGTTATTGAATCCATGGAAGAGGGCGAGTTCTACAAGTACTTAGGATTCCAACAGGCCAAACTAAC